CTTTCTCTCACTCTCGAGATGAGAAATCTATTGTTTTCCCTTGCGACATTTTTCAGAGGCATGCACATGTAGTTATCGATGTTTTCTTTTCCGTATATGGTTATAGTAGGGTATTTATTTGCAATCTGGATCGCCGCCGGTATGAAAAAACGGATCTTGCGCTATAAATTATAAGTTTGCTTCCATAACAATATTTTAAAAATATTTAACAGGTAAAATTAACATCATATTTAGATTTCACACATTTTTTAATAAAATTTCATATATAATATGTTAAAATCGAAGTTACGGTTTAAAAGATACAGGTAATTTAGAAAATCATTTGGTTTGACTCAAATATATTCCAAAATAATATTTTAAATTACTTAACGGGTAAAAAATAATCTCATATTCATATTTTACATATTTTTCTAATCAAATTTCATATACTCCCTCCGTTCCTATATATAAGGTGTATAGTTTTTTGCACGGAAATTAAAGAATGCATGTGAAGGGAAAATTTCAGAAATTTTGGAGTTACGGTTTAAAAGATATGGATGATTTTAAAAAGCATTTGTTTGACTTAAATATGATCCACGAATAAATTACCTAAAACATCAGGAGGTTCGAAAAATGTAAAATAACGGTTCGGGTGTGACTTAAATCTGGACGGCGAGTTGATTTCAGGAAAAGACAGAGACTTTTGTGTAAAATACGAAAATAACGCTTCGTTTTAACTTAAAACAGGACTGCAGGTTGAATTCTCTGAAATAGAGGGACTTTTCTGAAACAATGCCATGACGGACGAAAGAAACCCAATTTGCTTTATTATTACTAGCAAATATGCCCGTGCGTTGCAACGGAAGAAAAAATTACACGTTGGTCAATATCCGACATATGAATGTCCTCTATTTTAACACGATGGCTCACCATGTTGCCAATTATCTTTCTTCTCACTCTCGTTGATGATGGATGCAATATCCACGTGATCGCAATGCATTCAACGTGGTAAAAAATGGGCTTGTCACTGTACGACACACTTGTCATTGTCTCGCGCAAGGGAATGTTTTGAACTTTGAAAACAAATCTCATCGACCATGGACTACTCGCCAACCCCAAGACATATAAAGAATTTCCAAAATTAATCAAATCCTAGATATAAAATACATCTGAATAGGAAGAGTTTTTTGAATCGACAAACATTCTTTTTAAATTTAGACATTTTTTTAAATTCACAAACATTTGTTTTTTAGACGAACATTTATTGAAATGCATGAATAGTTTTTGATTTCATGATGACTCAGATTCACAAATATGTTTTGAATACACGATCATTTTATCAAGATCATGAACTTGATTTTATTTAACGACATTTCTTTCCAAATTATTTTTATAATTTGCAAATATTTTTGTAAAATCAGTAACATTTTTCGAAACCACGAAAATTTTATGATTTCCTGAACTTTTTTGAATTCACACACATTTTATAATTTCTCAAACAGCTTTTTCAAACTCGCAACTTTTTAATACTTGAAAATCTCAAATTGATTTAAAGAAGGAGAAAACAAAAACAGAAGTGAGAAAAGAGAAGACCAGAAAAAGGAAAAAAAACAGGGCATTAAGTCCGCTGGCTGGCCCATGTAGGCGGGAATAAATCATGAGAAAAAGGTGGAGGAAAATATTGGTAGAAGCTGGGGTTCAAACCCTGGTCTACAGGGCAGAAGACAATGCATCGAGCCACCGCGCTGCTACTGCGTCACTGCTATTTGTTGGATATTAACTTTATACAAACTCTGGAAACGACGGCGACTTTGAAAAGAAAAATCGAATCGTTTTCTTCACTTACGGGTGGCATAGCGGGTAATTTCTAGCAACTTCGGGGGGCGATTTTTGTGACGTACGGGCAGAAGCAATATCTGCTTTATTAGTAGGTATAGGTATATATATATATATATATATATATATAATATATATATATATATAGATATAGATATAGATATAGATTAGGTAAAGATAAAGAAGTACAAAGTTGGATCATCTATTTTGAAAAGGAGGGAGTAGCTAGCAGGGTCACGTACCGACTGCACCGAAAGCAGAATTGGCTCGGATCCCTCTCCCATGGCGCCCGCCGGCCTCTCCGGCCTGCCGGCCCACATCCTGGACGCTATCGCCCGCCGCGTGGGGCCCCTCGACAACTTCAGCTGCCCCCTCATCTGCCGGCCGAGGGGCGCCGCGTGCGGCGCGCCTCAGCCTGCTCCCACTGCCCAACAAGCCGCAGCACCTGCACGTGGAGCCTCGCTGCAACTGCCGCCGTCGCCCATCGCCGTCGCCTCTAAACCGTCGACCCCTGCCGCTCTCCGGGGAAAGGACCATGGACGAAGAAGGTCTACCTCCAACGCGGGGGCAGCCCCGTCGGCGTCGCCATGGACGGCGAGAAGAAGTCGGCGCACCCGACGCGCGTCGTAGGCTGCGACTACGGCTGGGCGGTCACCGTCGACAGCGCGCGCAGCCTCGCCCTGCTCGACCCGCTCACCGGCCGGCGGTTCCCGCTGCCTCCCGTCACCGCCTCCCTCGGCCGCATCACGCAGGTCGCCAAGAACCTCAAGCCGATGGGCCGGGGCATGTTCCACAGGGCGGCGCTGGCCCCCGGCCGCCGGTTCGGCACGTTCGCCGTGATGCTGATCCACAGCGGCGGGCAGGGCCGGTGGATCCCGGCGGCGAACAAGGGGGACACGGCGATCTTGGTGAGGGGGAACAGCTGCCTGTGCGTGCCGTGGCTGTACAAGCCCCGCTGCGGGAGACCAGCGCCGACGCCGGAGAACTGGCAGGTGTCTTACTGGGACGACGACCTGCCGCCGTCCAACGTGCGCGATGATTGCTCGTTTCTGCGCCACGGCTGCTGGTTTCTGCCCTACGTCGCGCCTGAGTTCCCTCGGCCAGACAAGCAGACCAGTGCTGATACCGAACCCAAGTCCTCAAAAATTTCTCGGCGAAGAAGGTGTAAACAAAGTGTCCGTGACAGTGTGGCTTACATTGTTCATGCATAGTTTGATGGCACCAATTGCATCGTGTAACAAAATCAATGACACCTCGTTTTAGGCCTCACAAAGTGAACTACTTATGAATCCTAAAAGCTTGTATCAATCTTGCCCAATCTAACAAGGAAAATCCCTTCTCATCCGGTCTGTTGAATGACAAGTTTTTTTGAGAGAAAAAGGCTGAAAAAATTGTTGTAAAAAAAAGAAGCTGAGCTGTTATATGACTTTAGAACCGACACAGGCTGTACATCAGAAACAGCCTGCAAACCCCAAATTCCTGGTATAAAATTTGTGCATTTCACATGCCTTACTCCGAGCTTATACCCCACAGATCCTCTGTTCAGTACAGTACATTGGATGTATACCTGTATTGACTCTCTTCAGTATAGCTACCACATCAAGAGATTAGCAAGCGAAAATTTTGTTTCGGGGTTATGCGTTTCCAATCATAACAATAGTTCATGAATTAATATACTCTTGCTGCAGGAGTATTCAAAGTCAAAGTAGAGAACATGAATCTCTCACTAAAAATAAAAAACCTAGAGGGCATAACTCTCTCAATAATAAGAATATTAATAAAAACTAGAGAACAAGGCAGTTCATTTTCATTGCCGTGCTAGCTACTAAAATCATGTAAAAAAGCTTGAATACACACTAGAAGAAGATTACGCTCGATTACTCCTATCATAGTAGCAGAGCAACGAACGGCGCATGTGAAGGGTACATACAACCTACCACTGCACGCATTGCATGCATGAACGCTAATTGACATCGTTACTACACAAATGCTGATAGTACCGAGCCGCCGAAAGAGGAAGAGAATCACATCAGCAGCTTAGTTACTTTCTTCTCCTGAGTTGCAGAGCACACCATTCAGTAAATACCAGGAACAACCCTGTATGGTACTCTGTTGCAGTACATCTTCCAGTACTTGCCGTACCTTTAAGAAGGCAGGAAAAAAAAGAGGAGTCGATCAGGCACAAACCCAGAGAACTGAAAACTAACCAAATAAGCGTCCGAGCAATTTAAAGATAAGGTTCTCTGTCGATGTTAGCTAAACAGTTGACTGCAAGACTGTTTACGTACTTTGTTGAGCATCTATCATCATCCCTCTTCGCTCGGTCAAGCAGTAGAATGGTTAGATGTAGCACATAGAAGTACGGCAGAAACTGCAAGTGAACCGAAAGCAGATACAATTAATAAAAACCTGACTTGTTAACCTTGTGATATAACATGATCAGGACATGCTTACATGATCGAAAAGAGCTGGAACGCTCCAGAAAAATGCTGCCAGTATCTCTGGGACATAGTGAAAGTGACGAGAAAAGCCCCACCTATCCAGGATAGAGATAGAAAAAAAGAAGGTGCATGCCCAAAGGGCTGTTATCTCTGCATATACATGATCACAAAATTCTCTTTTCATGAACAATGTTAAAGAAAGGGAACTGAATCTTAGACTCACCATCCAGAAGTCAAGAGAAGACTGGTTTTCGTTTCTCCTTTTGTGGTCTGATATGAAGCAACAATCTGAAGTTCCACCAAAATAAAGACATCAGCAGACTAACAAGCATAAAAGCATTTTTGGCTATTTTAAAGGTGCAAAACTTCCACCTTTGACGGGGCTTTGCCCCATACTGAGGCTTTCCCGTTTGTCCGGCGAAATTCTTGGCGCTGACGATCACAGTCATAGTTTATGTATATGCACAATATTCCAGCGAGGAGAATCGAGATTGCTAGCTGCAACAGGATTAACGAATATTCCGTTCAACTGTTAGAACTAAAATTGTGAATACGCAAGTCACAAAAAGTATCAAAATACTACTCCCTCCGTTCGGAATTACTTGTCTGGGAAATGGATGTATCTAGAACTAAAATACATCTAGATACATCCATTTCTACGACAAGTAATTCCGAACGGAGGGAGTACAAACCAAAGTATATCAGAGAAAGGTTATGTTCAAGAGTAACCTGGGGACCCAAATTCACAGGATGATTGACAAGGTACATTCCAGGAGAGGTGTAAGTTGATGGAACCCATACCAAGCATCCCCAGCAAATGTAGAAACCAGCTGTAGAAAATGATGTCAGACAGATAATAGAGAAGATCTGGAGTTCTGGACAGAACAAAATAGAATGCAACTTTGCAAGCTAAAATCTGAGTAACACATAATTTAATCACAATAACATACTACTAATCCTATCATGACATGCCGCAATATGCTTTGACAGAAGAAGAAACCACCTTCCATTGTTACTTTTTCTTAATATTGTCTTGGTTAGGTGATGCAGCCTTGATAAGAACATATTAGCATGGCTTGAACTTCACTTTGTAGTAGTATATTCTTTTGAAAATCATGATAACAAATTTCACTGATATTTGAATTACTAAATAAGACTTTTACTTCTATAGAGTTGTTGCGAGCGATTGGCAAGGAGGGCATTGTGAGCCTTGCAGGGCATTGTTAGATTAAAGTCTCTAGCTGAAGCAAGAATATGGGAGTTCGGAGTAACCATCTCCTTCACTTGTACTCCCTCTGTAAAGAAATATAAGACCTTTTAGTTCACTAAGTAGTGATCTAAAAGGTCTTATATTTCTTTACAGAGGGAGTATTTGACATGGATTGCAAACAAACCGGCCTAGGAACCGATTAAACATGCATGCAGAATTTTGAACGAAAAGATGGTGACCGAAGAAAATTATCTTTGCAAATTTAGTACCATGCAAAAAGATTCTTGGAATTATAGACTAGCATACATCCAGTGCAATCACCCTTTTGTTAAAACTTAAAAGTACCAAAAAAATGGGAAAAATATGGCAAACGATAAATTAAAAGGAAAAAAAATACACACATTATCCTATTCATAGTGAATACACACCTTAGTTCAAATGCTATATCATAAAATATTTTCGGAACTTTCATGTTGAATTGGTGCCTGAAATGATGATTCCATTATATCCATTAAACAGATGATGAACTCTGCCTACCTCTATCATGCGCAATGTCCATTGTACACCAATATCCAGACTCCCACCAGAAAAACTTTGTGATATAGATCAACATCAGTGCAGTATTCACAAGCATGGAGTCTGCAACTCGGCCATTCATTTCATACTGCATCACACAGTTCACAGAAATCAGTAGAGTTTAATAGATAGCTGCATCACAATATATATAGTATTAACAGAGAATATAACTCGTGAATGAAGAAATGCACAAAGATACAAGAAGCTGGATGGAGACAGTGCAAAAGCATGCTGTTTGACTGGGACTAGTGTACATCAATAAGAATATTATAATGTTCTGACCTGCTTTATGCAGTAGGTGACAGCAAGAACAGCCCAGGACATCATCCCAAAACGGCAGTTTGTGAAGACTTTGATATCGAAGTGCTTACCAATCCGAGGATACAGTTCCATTCCCTGAAAATGTGCATGTTAGATACATTGATCAACAAACCCATGTTCTACCCCCAATCCAAACAGGCCCTAAACAGTCTAAGCTGGACAAATGTCAAATATCACGGTGCCAGTGTCTACAGAAAAGAGCACCTAACCCCAGGCAATGTAATATACCATATGAATTTCATGGCACTTACCCAGTAGAAATCAATGAACGCATTCCCTGAGGATCCAGAATCAGATGAAGATGGTGCTACATGACCCTAAAAGGAAAATAAATTATCCATCAACAAAGGAAGCGTAGTACTCCCTCCGTCCGAAAATACTTGTCATCAAAATGGATAAAAAGAGATGTATCTAAAACTAAAATACGTCTAGATACATCCCCTTTTATTCATTTTGACGACAAGTATTTCCGGACGGAGGGAGTACATAAGTATGGGCAAACAAAGATCTGCAAAATAAACCCACCTTTATGTACAGGCATAAACAGAACACAAGGCTTCCAAAGACCAGAGCCGAGTATATCTCTCCCAGGTGATCATATACTATTGCAGGGTTAAATATTCCAAACCTGAAACAATTTTTTTTAACGACTGGTGATATAAAATATAGTACAAACTACATATAGTGGACAAAATCTAAGAGGCCTTGAACACATATTTTAAATGCGTGCAGTAAGCTCATGGAGAGAAAGCTTCTTCGTTATGTCTGTCCATAGCATTGGCATGGACAAAAAAGTTAACGAGAAATGAGCATGCATACCCATATGGTACTGAAAGCATTTTACAACATAGACTCCCAGGTCCATGGAAATATAGCTGAGGGGGGAGTATCTATCATGGACTTGAAATTACAGGATGGTGGCAGAACAAAAGGCAACAATCACAAATCACTATAATTGGATTTGGAAATGTACAAGTATTCAGCAATATCAAAGGCTCCAACAATTTTGCTCTATATGCAAAAGACAGAACGAAAACCAGCATGCACACAGAAGCTGTAAAGAGAAATATATACGCACGCAAACGTTTATGAATCACAGGTATGACTTGTAACATCTTTGAGAGAGAAGAAACAGGGAGCCAGGAATGACTTCACAGATATCATAAATGCAATTTCAATCATACTTGAACATTATCAGACACCAATGCATAGTTCGTAACTACCGTTTAACCAAGATATAAGCAACTCTATATCATGTTCCAACCTCCTGGGTGCAATGTAGTAGCGCTCAAACATACAACTATACCCTAGGGGGCTTTTTTTCTGAAACAATTAAACATTATAGTCTTCTGCATCAAAGCAACAAGTCCACCAATCTCCGACTACTGCATAAGAGATAAACTTCTGAAAACCGAAAAGAAGACCTAGTGCAACATACAGGCCCAAATTTAGAGAGCCTGGGTGGCTGGTGTGTCCAGCATGCGAGGTTAGTGATAACTCCCATTTTAGTACATTTAACGCATATGAACAGCATGTAAGCCACATGGAATCGTCTAACAATTTTTGGTTAACCATTTTGGGAAAAGTGAGGATGAATTCCTTGAAATTTTCGTGCCGTTCAGGCCCTATTGCATTATGACTAAGTTCCATATTTCTCTTACTAAGAAATCACTCTTACTTCAGAGAAAGCAACACAATAAAAGCAACAAATTAAAAAAAGAGTAGGGATCAGTTATATGCCTATGTCTAAAACCAGTAGCTACCATAATTGTTTTTCCTTAACTGGTTTACTGCCAGAACCGTCAAATGATCAATGCAAGTAGGCACAAGTAGACGATTTGTTCTATTGTTCATGGATGAAACCGCGGAAATGATGAGTGATGTAATATGAAGGTAATCAGTAGGTGAGTCAACACAAGAGAAGAAAATAAGGTGGACTTCTTACCACCACAGGCTTAGGTAGGTGACCAAAGTCACTGCATATGCTAGTAAACCATTTGCCTGAAAAAAGAAGAAGAAAGGGTCAGCGGTACTGAAGCTGCAGGCTTCTGTTTAGTAAGTACTGTATTTAGCTACAGAGCAAGAGTAGGAATCGCAATGTCCACTGAAAGAGAGGGTCGGACCTTGTAGACGGGCACATTCCCGGCGGGCGAGATGGGCCCCTCGAAGCGCTTCCCGGGAAGGAGCAGCTGGAGGGCGGCCTCGAAGAGAGCGAAGCCGAGGATGATCTTCCCGGCGACGAGGGTGGGCATGGGCCAGACGGCCTTGAGCCCCTCCAGGATCCCGCGGTCGCGGAGGTGCTCGTAGGTGCGCGCCACCGATCCGTCCGCGTGCGCCACCGTGTACCACCTGCGGGCAAGAGCCCCAGAGCGAGAGAGAGTTAGATTCGGCGGAGGCGGTGAGCGCGCGCCGGATCTGCGAGGCGAGGGGGGGAGGGGGACTCACAGGAGGATGACGAATGGCGGGCAGAGGGAGAAGAGCGTGGCCATGGAGGCGTAGGTGAACCACGGCGAGTGCGCCGTCTTGAACTCCCGGGGCGGCGGCGCGGCGTCGGCCGCGGCAGGGCCGGGCTTGGGCTGCTGCTGCTTCTGCTTCGCCATGGCGCCTCCTCTCGATCTCGCTCGCTCGGCGCGGGGGAGTGGACTGACCGGGGTGCCGATTGTTTTTTAAGGATGGGTGGATCTGTGGCCACCGCCGCCGCCGCCGCCGCTGTCGTCCGGAGGGAAAAACAGCATCTTTGCGTGTGTGCCCGCTTCTTTAAAGACGAAGACGGAGACGGAGACGAGACTGTGAGCGCGGCTCGGCCACGTCGCGCCGGTGCTCCTGGGCCGTCCGATCGCCGTCCGGAGTGGATGTAATGTACTACAGGCATATGCGGAGGTTATCAGCTGTACCACGGGGGACCATGACAGCGGCCAGGTGGGGTGAGGGTGACGTGGATGCTTTAGGGCGCACAGGAGTTTGGCGTGAGCGTACAGCAACATCCCCATGGACGGAAAAGGGAGGCGTGCCGTGCCGTATAATTAATTTGATGTGCTCGTGGAGCCAAGTGGAGTAGTATATACGTGATACGTGGCAGATCTTTTGCTTATTTTTATTTTTTTATTACAAACGACAGATCTCTTGCTTGGTGGCTGGCCTGTGGAGGTGGGGCCGTTGTGTGCCATGTGTCGCGCCGACATTGATTCCCAGGCCTTGGTTGAGCCATGGAGAAGAACAGGTCAATTGTTTTTTTAGCATCAGTACAGACACAAGCGCTCGTATACACGCGCATACACTCACCTCTATGAACGCATATACGCACACCCTACCCTTATGAGCACCTCCGAGAGACTGAGCCGGCATATCATCTTGAGATTTACGAAGTCACCGTAGGCGCCTCGTCGTCGACGGGCACGTCTCCTCCCACTGAAAGTGCATCGCCGGAAATCCTAAAATAAATTCAGGAATAATGCGAGCACCAGGATTTGAAGCCTGGTGGGTTGGGGATACCACTGTCCACCTAACCATCTCAACCACAGGTTGATTCGCAGGTCAATTGTTTTGCCAATCCTGCTTGAAATGCAAGACATCTCAATAAGTTTTTTTTTCGAAACAAGGCAAAAGAGTTGCCATTTTCATTAGTTAAGAAGAAGATTAGACATAGTTCCGCCAAGCGAGAGAACACAGATCACTCTCGCGGCATAACATTACACAAATACTTCGCGCCCGCACGAGCCCAAATAGAGGTCTCATCTTTAATCTTGGCAATGACAACGGTAATAGGTGTGGCAGGTGTTGCGGAAGACCCTCACGTTGCGTTCGTTCTAAATTTCCCACACAACTAGCATCATCAAAGCGCTACGGACCTTGCGTGAGTGGCCCCTTTTGTGAGCAACCTTGTCCCACCAAACTTTTGCCGAGGGCACAAGTCTCCAATCCGACAGATCGATGTGGTCGAGGCCAAGCCAAGTCTTGATCTCCGTCCACACTCTCACTGCGAACCCACACTAAAGAAGAGGTGAGCCGCCATCTCTTGAACCTGCTTGCAAAGAGGGCAAAAGGTTGCGGTTCGGCCATCCCCGACGCTGCAATCTATCGGCAGTCCACACCCTATTCCGAATAATCAGCCAAGCCAAAAAATTGCACTTTGGGTAGGTGGGCCAAGCTTTCCCAACTGTAGTGATCATGGTTCATTTTGAATGTGTTTGGTTACTCGCATCTAGCCCAACCAGGCCTGCGCGGGACAAAATTGGACTGTTTGGTAGGTTGCATTTACTATTTGGACTGCATAGCACAAACCTTAAAAAAACCTTAAAGCACCTCCCAGCCAGGCCCGCTACCAATGACCAATTCAACCGTTCCCAGCGAACCAAGCTCGAGCGATGCAGGAGAAGGGAACGCCGTGTTGGCCTCCTGCGTCCACGGAGATGGCGCGAGCTCGTGCATGTTTCCCAAAAAACTGCGGGAGGAATTGGCGTCACCTTCCGTCGAATCGGTCGCCCAATATAGCCAGCCTCACCTCACCGCCCAAACTCCCGCCACCATTCAACCCCTTTTAGGATTTTCCTCCCGCGTGGATCGACACCGACGACCAGGTAGGCTACGCTCCTTCTCCGACCATCGGTTGACGGCGGTGCGATTCAAGTCCTCCTCTTCTCCGACCTGTTCCGCGCCTCCTTCAAGCTGGAACAAATGGCATATGTGAGTTCAATCACCCCTTCTTTGTACGCATTCTAACTAGATCTCTGAGCATGTGGTAGTGTTAGATCTGTGACCATCTTGTAGCATGTACATTGTTGATATGTGATAATGTGATCTTCAGTTAGTGGTGATGGATATGTAGCGTGCTGATGGCTCTATATTTCACACATTTTAGAGCTTATTTGTTGTATGTCCTCTTTATATGTTACATCCCATTGAACCAAATAGTTGTCATTTATGCATGATTATCGGCTTTTAAGCTATTTCTTGTGAGCGCTGCACATTTGTGTTTTTATTTGGTTTTTTAGCCTTCTTTGGTTTTTGTGTGTCTATGGGTGTATTGGAGCAACCTAGAATCAAGCACGATGAAAGAACCAATGATGGGTTTAATATGAATGACTTCCAGTACCAAACTTTCCCATTTTGGAGAGCGAAAAAAGTCGTTTTTTCGAAGTGCTCAAAACCCTAATACCTGAAATGGATCGGCGTCATTCATATGAATCCAACAAGGCCAAGAACTTCAAATTCCGAGTTCATATGAAGAAATAGCGGTCGATTTACCGAAGAGGGACACAAGAAAGTCGCATCCTCCGACAGAATTCTTCACCGATTCCATCCCTGATTGTTCTCACGAGATCCTTGAACAATCAGAATTCATTTGGGAGAGGATAAGACCCATCTTGCGACATTGGATGGCCACACTAACGGAGGAGAAACCAAGACATTGGTTTGAGGAGCCATTGAATGAAATTGTACCCTTCCTCTTAAAAGATGTATCAGTTATTTCGATTGAATAAAGTTAGTTTATTTTCAAAAAAAGACACCCTCTTATATACACCACCAACCCTAGGCGCTTGGGGAGCATCACGCCATTCATCTACGCATCCATCATCCATCTCCATTACTACTGCAAGACCACCTCCATAGAAAAGAGAATAACCAAGGCAAATGCGTCGTCTTGAACATTGGGGACGGCGGCGCAATGGCGGTAGGGCCGGGCTTGGGCTGCTAATGCTTCCCCATGGTGCCTCCTGGTCTGTCCTCTCGATCTCGCTGGTGCGGGAGAGTGTACTGGGATGTTGACTGTTTAAGGATGAGTGGATCTCTGGACGTCGCCGCTGTTATCGTCTGGAGGAGAAACGATATCTTTAAGGCCAACTCCAACAATAGACCCCGTCATGTCCGGCCGTGTCCGTTTGGGCCCAAACGGACACACGACCCGGCCCAACGCGCAACCCCATCCTCAAAACTTGACCGTTTTCGGTCCGGCTCGACCCATTCGAAGCGCATACTTGGGCCAGCTTTGCGGTCGCGCAGACAACGAACGAATGGGGCACGCGTCCTCTCTGCGTCCGTGTCGGGCCCACGTGTCGGTGGTCCAACTACCTCCCACCGCTCGCAGTGAATGCGCACGGGTGGTTGGGCAAGCCATGGACTTCTAGTCGCCATCTGTGGGAGTCCTGGATTCGGGGGTCCTCAGGTATCCGGCCTAGGAGTATGGGCCGGGTTGGATGGGCTGTACAAGATCAAGCTAAAGATTATCATCCGTGTCAGGATGGGACTTCTCCACACGTAAACGGCAAGATTAGAGTTTGGGTGTTTCCTTCCCTGATAAACCGACCTTGTACAAACCCTAGGCCCCTCCGGTGTGTCTATATACGGGAGGGGTTAGTCCGTGGAGGCTATCTTCATTGCCGTCATTGGAATACTCATAGGCTAGACATCTAGGGTTTAGCCATTATGATCTCGAGGTAGATCAACTCTTGTAATCTTCATACTCGTCGAATATAATCAAGCAGGAGTAGTGTTTTACCTCCTTTAAGAGGGCCCAAACCTGGGTAAACACTTTGTCCCCTGGTCCCCTGTTACCATTGATCCTTAGACGCACAGCTTGGGCCCCCCTACCCGAGATCTGCCGGCTTTGACACCGACATTGGTGCTTTCATTGAGAGCTCTGTCGTGCTATCTACAAAAGCGATCTATGGCTCGCCTAGTCATCAACGAAAATATCACTTCTGGAAGGTGCCTGGCTTCTGAGAAGACTCTCCGGTTCGGCGGTTTCACCGTAGGAGCTCCCGCAGCCGTCGAGCCCGCAACACCCCTTACGACCGCCGGACACCGTCTTTACGTCGGCCCCAAGTACTCCGAAAAGTTGGATCCGGCTGATGTTTCGTCTTTAAACGAACTGCTGGACCGCATCGCTGCCTTGGGGGTCTCAACGGACTATGATCGGATCAGTCTCGAGCCCGACCAGAGGGAAATTAGTCACCCACCTCGTAGCGGGTGTTGAGGAACCAGGCGAAGACACTTCCCTCCCTATATTGAAGACCAAGTATGTTCGGGTCTCTGAATCCCCTGCGCCGGACACTCCCCCTTTGGACGGGACCTCGCGCCCTCCAGACCCTAGCTCAAGCATAGGATTGCAGGAGCTCTTGTGCCTCCCCGGACACGAACCTGTCGCCTCGGAGACCTTTCAAGCTCCGAACACAGATGTGGGACTGGATCTAAAATTTAAGCCACCCACCCACCACAATCTATATTCTCCAGGCAACTCAGGTCCTCCAGATATGTACAACCTGAAGTACGTGCGGCAGGAAACGGTCCACCACTTTTGGGCCAGATTCTTGCTTGTTAAAAACAGGATCAAAGATTGCCCGGACGACGACGTAGTTTCAGTCTTTCATCGTAACTGCACCGATGAGGGAATATTGAACGCCCTCGACCGTCGCCACATACAGAGCTTTACAAAACTATCACAAGTAGTGCAAAAGTATTGTGCGATGGAAAGCACATGGAATGCCCAGAAAACTCAACTGGAGCCCGCTGACTTTAAGAAGTGTGCGGCCCGAACTAAACGGATACATCCTGGCGGGTCACCCGACCACCAGTCTATGGGCAGGAAAAATAAACCCTTCAC